CTTTGAAAAGGTGATCAGGTTGGTTTGGCATGATCTACCTTTTGTAAAACCATGTTGTATTTTGTCCCAATTACCATTGACCTCAATGTCCTTGACTACTTTTTCCTTCAAAATTTTTTCCAAGACCTTGCAAACTATAGGTGTCAAACTGACAGGCCTGTAGTTGCCCGGGTCACGTTTTCCCCCTTTCTTAAAGATAGGAACTATGTTAGCAATTCTCCAGTCATACGGTACAACCCCTGAGTTTGCATATTCATTAAAAATTCTTGCTAATGGGCTTGCAATTTCGTGTGCCAGTTCCTTTCATATTCTTGGATTAAGATTATCTGGGTCCCCTGATTTTGTCCCATTAAGCTGTTCGAGTTGTTTTTACATGTAAACAAGGGGGTGTTCAACCCTCTGTGTGGAGGCCATCAAATTCTGTACTTGGTTCTATCTATTAGAAGGTTACCTCTATGACCCTTTGTCTCCCAGGAGTCAGCAACAACCTAGTGGACTTCCAGAGCAGGCATTCGGTGACCAATCACAAATGGCCCTTGCACAGATCCGTTGTAGGACTGATGCATGTATAGGAGGTCATTGGGAATCTCAATAATGGACTTGATTGCTACCAAGGATAACTCCAAATGTCAGTACATTTGCTCCAGAGGAGGCCTGAGTCAAGGATCATTACTGGATGCCTTTGTACTACAGTGGATCTGGAGGCCTGCTGTATGCCTTTCCAGTAATTACCCTGGAGATCAGGGAATCACCATTATCAAACGGGACAAAGCCACACTAATTCTCATAGCTCTATACTAGCCAAGACAGTTTTGGCTGATGAGCCCACTACAGGTGTCCACTGAGCCTCTGAGTCAGCTCCTGGACCTGATCTCACATTGGTTGTCAGATACCCATTCAGACAGTCAGTCACTGTACCTGACAGCATGGCTGTTGACTGGTTAAATACTGTAAATAGAGACAGCTCCGTTCAGGTCCAGGAAATCCTGATTCAGAGCAGGAAAACATCTGTCAGAAGGGTGTACTCATCTGAATTGAAGAGGTTCTCAATATGGGTGACCCAACAGAGTCTGGTCCCAGTTCAGGCCTTGATACTGAAGAACCTTGACTACTTGTTGCACTTAAAACAGGCTGGTCTTTGGTTGAGCTCTGTTAAGGTCACCGTGCTGCAATCTCAGCTTGCCATCCTCATGTACAGTCGTGCTGTCTTCTCTCACCCCATGGTACTGAGTTTCTAAAAAGTCTGTTACATGCTTACCCACCAGTCAGAGAACTTACTTATGCTGGCAATTTCAATTTAGTCCTCCTGAGGCTCATGGAGCTTCTCTTTGAACCTTTCTCAGAATGTTCCTTGAACCACCTTTCCCTAAAGTTGCTCTTCCTGTTGGCTATCACTTCAGACAGGAGGGCGAGTGGACTTCAGGGTCTTGTGGCAGAACTCACCTCCCTCCCAATATAACATTTCATAGTGTGCTCAGGCCTCTCACAGATTCATTCTGAAAATGGTTTCAAATTTTCCTTGAAACCAATCAATCTGCCTGTTGTCTTCCACAAGCTACCTTCTGCACTGGGAGAAAGGAAATTTACACACACTAGCTGTATCCAGCACTTGGTTTTATCAGATATTGGCTCCATCTGTTCTTAGCCATAGCTGGGTGTTCTAAAGGTCAGGCATTCTCATCACAAAAAATGAGTGTATCTCATTATTACCAGCTGACTGGTGTACCTCCCGCTCTACTAAAGGGCTTGCTTCAGGAATATGCAAGTGTCAGTGCTCTGTAAGGCAGCACTGTGAAATAGCCCACCAATGTGTCAAACACTAGGCCTTTGACTTAGTTGCTAAGTCAGATACCAAGTTTTTGGGAAAACAGTACTATGATCACTGTCGACTTATGTAGCTGAAATTCCTCATTCCTATCATCCTGAGGGGATACTGCTTGCCAGTCACCTACAATGGGATCTACTGTGACACATTCAAAAGAACTGTTGGTTAGCCTACAGTAACTCTGGTTCTTTGAGATGTTGTCAGTGTGAATCCAGCCTCCTCCATTCCAGATTCAGAAGTTCTGAGCTACAACTGAGATTCTAATTATGAGGGAATTTACAAAGGAATGCCCTCACGCAAGAGCACGAGGAGGGTCACGGCTTGCATGGTCCTGACTGACACAGCTATTCAAAATAATCTAATTTCCAGTGTATGAGGCACATGTGCACCTACAGTGGGGTTTCATGCTGACTTCAACATCTCAAAGAACCACAGTTGCTGTAGAGTAAGTAATCTTTGTTTACTTATGGTGCCTATGTTTGGGCATTGTCCAGTCTAGCCTTAAATATCCCAAGCAGTGTGGTTTCCATCTCTTAAATTGGGACAGTATTTCACAGCCTCTTATCGCTCGCTGTCAGGAGTTTCTCCTTGATAACGAGCCTACATTTTTCCTGTTTGTAAAATGGGGCTGCTCCTGTATACCCACCTTTTGATACATGACTGAATACTATATACATGTAAAATTTCATTAACAAATAAATAGGACCCAGGAGTCCTAAATCTTATTCCTCAGCTCTGACTATACAACACTCCCTTCTCAGAAGGAATACATCTACTGCTGTCAGCTAATGTAGGTACTCCTTTAGCTTTAATGGTAGAAGTTTGTGCTGTGCATCTGAAGGTTCAGGTTCAAACTGTGCTAATGATTCATGCAGGGGGATTGCTAGTCTGACATGATGGAATTTTAGATCTTTCAGTTCAGTTTAAAAACCAAATCCTAGGAAATTCCATATAAAATATCTTCATTAAAAGAGAAAGGATTAAGGTTGCACAGTGGAGCAGAAGTTAGGAAATACCAGACTCAAGATTGTCCATGTAACCATAATTCACCACCACATGTGATGTTTATGCAGTCTTTAATTACATGACTGCATACTCTTTTTTTCCCACAGGACTCTTGCCTTGTTCATTGAACAGTATGGGTAATGCTCAGGGAACGAGGCTGCTGTGAAGTGTTTTTATTTTCCTTCAGTGTGTGACCCATGATGGTATACTTCTATAGTCCCATCAATGAAGTAGAAAAACCTCATGCACATTAATAAAAGTTCTTTGGGGCAGAGGCCATTTTTGTGTTGTGGGCTTGACTGATTCTTGGTGGGAGCCTCTAGGCACCGCCTCAGTACAATAATAAAATACGTACTGTATCCTCCCAGCAGCCCTGGGAAGTAAGAAAGCAGCAGTATGGAAACTGAAGTGCAGAGAAAGGCCAACACTTGCAGAAGTGGCCATCTTGGATCCCTTGAGACTCAGATGAATTTTCCCCCCAAAATGTGCTGAACGGCTGCAGTTTCCATTGACTTCAACTGTAGTTGAGTACTTGGCAGGGAAAATGTAGCCCTTTCGGGTGTCTCAAGTTGAATGTTGGGAGGGAAACAGTGTTAATGACCACTTCAGAAAACTTTGGTTTGTAACGTTCCCAGTATCACAGGAATCCTATGGCAGAGCCAAGGATAGAACCCAGTTTTCTAGAGTCCAGTGCAGTCATTAACTACAAGATCATCCCTTTTCTTTGTGCAATCCTCTCTGTAATTGATTATGCATGTTTCAGCAAAAGTGACAGGAGATGGCCTTATTGATTACACATTCTTGGCTCACTTAGCATCCATTCTGAAGCAAAGATATTGAGAGAAAACAGTATGTGATCATGAAACTCAAGTCTGTAACATATTGCCATCTGCTCAGTAGAGCTGAATTAAGATTGCCTGGCACTGATTTAAACATTTTAATTATTTTATTGGACCAACTTCTGTTGCTGAAAGTCAAGCTTTCGAGCTACACAGATTTCTTCTTCAGGTGGGAAGGGTATTCCAGGGTCACAGCTAAATGCAAGATGGAAAAGATTGTTTAGCATAAATAGCTCCCACATAGTCTAAGGGACCATTCAGAGTGGCCCATTACTGTCTATGACTTTATCTTGAATGGTCCCTTAGTTAGTGCTAACTACTTACGCTAAACAATCTGTTCCATGTTGCATTTAACTGTGGTGCTATGTGTCCCAGACCTGAAGAAGAGCTGTGTGGCTCGAAAGTTTCTTTCACCGAAAAGTTGGTCCAATAAAAGATATTACCTCACCCACTTTTTCTCTCTGTTATTCTGGGACAGAGATGGCTACAACTACACTACATACTAATTTAATTCTGATATTTCCTGTCTTGATTACTTGACTTTGCAACCGTAGCTTTTTCTCTTAACATATTTTATTTTTGTAGGGAATATAGCTGTAGTATGATTTCATCTTGTGTATTTCTAAAATACTTACCAATTGATGAAATTTAGAGGACAACAAAGATGCTCTGGGGAATAACGGATTGATTTATGAGGAAAGACTAAAATAGTTAAACATATGTAGAGCTGGCTAAGCAATGACTAAGACTGGCAAGGTAAACGATCTACAGGTATTAAAGTGCATTAACACCAAGGTAAAGGAGTTGTTTAGAGTTCAACAGTGGGGCAAAATTAGGAATTATAGGGTAAAATTAAGGGACGAAAATTTTGACTAGATATCAGCCAGAACTTTTGGACAGGGTGTTGTTTACAATTGTAGAATAGTTTGTTTCTTCCCTCCACGTCTTCCAAGGTGAAGTGCTGGAAGTGCCATTACTTGGTATATTACATAGTTTGTTTAAACTTACTAACAAACATACTATCATGAACATAGGTACTAAATGACCTGCCCTCCCACCTTTAACTTCTTTGCCGTTGAGGATTCTACTAACTACCATGTTTAAATACTAATGCCCGTTCTTCAAAAGCTCACGTGAGTGGCTTATTTGAAACCTGTGTGTGGTATGGCATTCAGTTTATGGCTGTGGCTCAGATAACCCTCTTTAGATGTCTGTAGGAGACTTTCAGGAGAGTGATTTTTTTGAAAAGGGGGCTTTATTGCTCAGGTATCATTTTTCTAAATTTGATTGAATGAAAGTAGCTGATTGATATACTTTTTTAATTTTTAAAGGATCGTGTAGGAGGAAGAGTTGCTACATTTCGCAAAGGAAACTATGTTGCTGATCTAGGAGCCATGGTGGTAACAGGGCTGGGTGAGTCATTCAAAATAATAAACTTTTTTAAAGGTTATTGAAAGAGAAGGGTTATAACATTCTAGTTTGGGCCTCTTCTGCGTTCAGGGTGCTCTGATATGTGATGAAGGAATCATTCATAATAGGGGTCAGTTCAATGGAAGTGTGGTTGTGATATGCAAGATAGTTTCTCAGTTGTCATTCTTTTCAGACTTGTTGAAACCACTTAGTTTTTTGTGGTTCCTGCCAAACTCTCACCACAGTGGTTTGATTTCTGCAACAGTTCATTTGCACTGGGATTTCTGTTACTCTTGTCTTGGCACGCTAGCTTATTTTGCCTATGTTTAAACTATTCTTACAACCATTTAGCTGAGCATCAGAGAATCATAGGGACCTCGAGAGGTCATCTAGTCCAGTTCCCTGCACTCATGACAGGGACTCTTGCGCACACAATTCGCGCACCCCCTCCCCCTCACCCCACCCCCACTCGCCTCCCGCCTCCTCACCCTGCTAGTCTCATCGATCCGCCGCTTGCAGCCAGACCCCCCTGCCCGCCTAGTCTCCTTGTTGCTGCCTCACTGCTCAGCTCCTTACTCC